AACAAACCTTTGATCCATTGATTCGCATTACTAGTGTCCAGCCTCCTTCTCCACATCCAGGAATTCTTCCTATTTTGCAATATGTTTTCCACGTATCTCCACCAGTTGTTATGTTGTAAAAACCACTTGGGCTTGAGCTTTGGTATAAGATTTGAATTTTAAAGAAGGCTCTCGCAGGTGATGTTTATGAAACAAATGAGGTATTACCAGCGCCCTGATTTGTTAAAAACTTATCGTTTGTTGCACCGATAAAACATAAGAAGTGTGGTCTATCGCTGAAATTAGCTATGAATTTTGCCACCGAAGACAGTGTAATTTCAATTTTAAAGTGACTTTTGCATAGTTTTTTTGCACATGATTTCTTCCCTTTTAATTCTCAAAGTCAGAAGCAACGATCAAATTTTACAGTGATGTCTACAACAAATGGTGATGCTTTTTGTTATTTGACATTTCTTTTGGCAATATTTTCTAAAAAGTAATTTTTGACAAATAAGTCAACTTTCGTGTCATGCAGAGCCATTCAAACGGTCAATACATGCAGATGATTTTAATCGGATTCGTGTAGTATTCTTTACAAAACTATTTTATTTCATGAACAGGTGTTTTTTTGGCTCCAACCCCGCACCTTCGATTGAGAAACAAAACGCGTATAATTTCTGTTCTGGTAAGATCTGTCTTCAAAATGAAGAGCGACAATGAACACTCGTCATTACGAAAATAATCCTCAAAGCTGAAAGGGGCACAGTTTGATAATAAGTTCTGAAAATTTCAAGAGGGTGTAACTTAGATGGCTGTAAAAATGACAAAATGATTTTCTGTTCTATTTAGAGACGATTTGAAAAAATTTTATAGCTAGTATCGTTTATGAAAGAGAGGCATGAACGCTAACTTTGCAATCAGATAATGCAAAAGTAATTATGAAATAGGCTGACTTGACTTTTCATATTCCTTAAAACTGGAAATGCACCCACCTATTTCGTTGTAAGATATCACTACACGAAGCCCTCATCGTTGTTTGATCGTCTGTTATCGTTGAAGAGACGGAACCACGGTTATCATCATTGTTGTAAATTCCATAAGGACAGCTTCCTTCCAGATCTTCGCTCACTGGAAGAATCGGAACCTTTTGAGGAAACGAAAAATAAGTTTTTAATTCATATTTTTCGAGTAGTTTGGCACTCATAGCGTGTTTTGTTTGTCATTTTTTGTACTTACTAATGTTCAAAAAGTTAGCAGAATTTTTCTTGTAAAGTGTATTTGTGTGAAAACTGACAGGCTATAGCTTTTAAAGAAGGAAGGACGCGTAACATGGAAGGCTTGTAAGATGGAAAGCTTGTAACATTGAATGCTTGTAGCAAGGAAAGCTTGTAACCTGGAACCTTTACAGGAATCAAAAGATAAAATACCGGAAAAATCATGGTCCAACAGCAGCGGTTGACGAGCTGAGTCCAATTTAAAAAAAAGATCGAAAGAAGTACCCTTGTAATATCCACTCAGGCACATATGTCTTTTGAAAAAAAGAGAGGCGTCACGCGTAAAATTGAACCTCTTGATTGGTGTTAAAATGGAAATCTTGCAATTAACTGATTGATAGCTTTACGAAAGCCACCATCTCGAAGCCAATGGAAGATCGATTTCAAAATTGACTGATACATCCTCGTAGTAAGTTATAACATATCGTATGCTGAATGAATGAAATGTTTATATTATTTGGACGCAATCAATTGGCAACTTCGAAAAACGTGTTTTGTTGCCACAAAAATCTGACGGATACATTAAAGATTTCAATTTTCAGTTTTTTTGTGTATGTTTTGGCTGCTTGAGTAGTTTCTGTCATGCGATGTGAAGTCTGATAGCGGGTCTGAGTGTTTTGAAGTGACAGCTTCGTTGGGCTGTACAAACACAAGAAGTCAAATGATTCTTTATCTAAACATCTTCATGGTCATTTCAACGACATGGTTGATTAAAGAAAATTACCATGAATTTTCTTTGTTTTTTTTATAAACTACTTACACAATGCGGCAGAAAAAGGAGCAAAAGAGAGTATATTATTTAAAGCGAATGTGCAAAACCTTAACTGCGAAATTATCTTCTTCTCTTAGACGTTTCTCAAACTAAGCTGATTTGGTACGAATTTTAATGCTAAAAATGTGGTTTTAAATATGCTTAGAAATGATAGACTGTAAATTATTGCGAGTAAAAGTGTATTTGTCTGATAGAAGCCATTTCCGAGAGAAAGAAACAAAGAAACAAAGAAACAAACACAGGAAGGAAGAAAGAAAGAAAGAAAGGGAAAAAAAGTAAGCTTTCGTTCTTTCTCGAGCGTGTCCTCTACAAGGAAATGAACCCCAGACCGTGGAATTTCGTGCTTCGATGCCCTACTACTAAGTTTAGTATGCTATTATGGATCTTTCTTCATTTGTGAAAACCCTCTTTAACATAGCTTGGTTCAGTAATATCGAAAGATTCGTGCGAGTAAACGGAATGGCAAAAAATGAACTCGGTCATGAAATGAAGACAGATGTGACTCGTTTTGTTATGGGTGTAAGGTAAAGAAGAAATCTGGATCTCTCACGAGGAAAACGTTTCTTCTTTTAGACTGATTTACAGAGCATTTCAAGATTGCAAACGTTGAAACTTAATGTTAGACTTGTCAGTGTAAGACATATTTTTCAAAGAGACCTTCGCCTGCACTCAACATTGATAAGAACTGAATGAGCATTTTAAGCATTTTCCAAACTTGAAAAGCTTATAGCCGCACAGAAAAGGTATCTATTTACTAGATGTCTTACCTTTCTCAGGGTCACAATTCTTAACTTTGGATCTACGTCGCTGGCATGGATATCAGTGGAATCTTTTCCCTTGTTTTGATAAAGAGAGCATCTCTTAGTGTCTCTGTCAAAGGTCGCCTTATCGCAGTGGCTTCTCGTGTTGCATCTTAATGCGCAAGCTATCGAAGTTGCAGAGGTGAACTCAGCAGTTTTTATTGTGTCTCTAAGCGACTGTTTTTGCGGCCAGTGTGAAAAAGTGAAGTACGATGAACAGAGGTTTTGTAGATAGACGCCTGAAATATAGGCAGATAAAATGATGCCAATTCGAAATAAGGCGATCATGGTTTTTGCGGCGAGATGAAGTGTTTATTTACTTGGATAAGTCTTACGTTTCCTTATTATAGAGCTGTAGGGGATTGGAAACGATACTTACTCTGATTGGTTTTTCTCTTTTGGGTCACATGATATTTAGCGCCCGGATTCACTTTAACACTTTTTGATGTGTTGTTGGTGTAAATTTTCATTTGGAAGTCTTCTTGTGCTCCTTGTCTTAGAGTGCTTTTTAACAATACGCAAACTCTAACAAAAAACAATTATACAAAAATTTCTATAGCGCCCTATTCTAGAGCTCTAAAGCGTTTTACAATAAAAGGTTTAAAGCAGTAACTCAGTAAATGATAAATTCAAAAAAATACTAGAGCAAAACCACAAATTAAAAAGATAAGTTTTAAGGTTGCTCCTAAAAGATGTAAGATTTAAACTACATTTTATATGCTCTGGAGGATTATTCCAAAGTTTAGGGGTGCAGACCGAAAAAGCACGATCACCATAAAATTTTAAGGTGTTACTAACAAGTTCAGGTTGATGATCGTAAATTCCTAGATGGCTTGTGAGTTTGCAACAAATCACGAATATAGCTAGGACCTAAATCATTTAAAGATTTAAAAGTCAACGGTAGGATTTTGAAAATAACCCTCTGCTCCACAGGAAGCCAGTGTGGTTCTTTCAGTTAAGGAGTATTACGGTCATATTTAGAACCACATAAGATTAGACGCGCCGCACAGTTCTAAACTAACTGAAATCTATGAATAAAGTATTTCGGAAGTCCATACAACAGAGAGTTACAGTTGTCCAGTCTACACATTACGAAGGCATGCACTAACATTTTGGTGGACAAATTGACTCCAACCAGCCAGGTAGGATTTGAACCACGCAAGGACCCTTCCCTTGATACGCATCTTCAATCCGTGGAGTAGTACACTGTGGTCAACAGTGTCAAAAGCTGCAGATAAATCAAGCCGTAACAAAACGACGGTGCCACCATTGTCCTCAGCTCGCGATATGTCGCCCTGTCCTTTCAAAAGGGCGGTCTCAGTACTATGCAATTTCTTATAAGCAGATTGTAGTTTCTCATTGAGATCGTTCTTATCAATATGCTGCACAAGCAGGTAAACTTTCCCTCATAAGTCGTATCTTGTCGGCAAAGAAGGAGTTGAACTGTTCATCTACAGCAGAGTCAGAACTTGCAGAAGGAAACGCACGAGAGGTTTTCTGTATAACAAAGTATTAATCACTTAAAACAACATTTGCTGGTTCCCATGATTGGCCTCAATTATTGATGAGTAGTAGGCCTCTTTCGCATTTCGAGTCAAGTCATTTACAACACGACACTGAGATAAAAGACAAACTACTTGAAAATTTGTGTTCCATGTTACCGTTACTCATTATCGTAACGGACAACAATGGATACATTAACTGCAACACAGGAAAGACGCTTTTGCAGCCGCCTGACCTGCAACTTAACCCTTTGACCCTTAAGAGTGACTGGGATCTAATTTCTCCTTACAATATCACCCCTAAATCAAACATTTAGGTCATGAGAAAAAGGAAAATGATCGCAAACTAAAGAACCTCGTGATTATCAAACAAATTCTCCTTGTCAGTACCATAGGATAAGAATAAGGAGCAGTAGGGAGTATTTACATATTGACGTGAGGATATAGGGGTTAAAACATGATTGGCATATCTTTTTAGCATGCCATTTACTCCTAGGATATGTCTAATTTCCACTTACATCCATTCCTTTAGCTGCGGTTTTCCCAGCTAAATGCTCATGTTAACTAAAATAAGCGCTTCGTTTGTCTGCTCAGCTTTGTTTTTCTATATTTTTTATTTTAAAAGTTGTCGATGACGACTGAATACAACAGAGCAGCTCAAGAATCAATAAACCTGCCGTCTGATGATTCAGGAAAGGTGGACCAAGGAAAGCACCGAAGAAAACAAACCATAGAGAGAAGGAGAGTTATAGAAAGCGGAAACGAAACGAGGGTGACACAAAACGATCAAATTGAAATGAGAAGAGAAGAAGAGGAGAGACAAGACAAAAATGAACAGGTGGAGGAAGGTACTCAAGTAAAGTTGAACAAACTTTAATGATTTTTTTCGGTAAATTTCATCTTTTTTTTTTTCAGTCTTCTCTTTGCAGAAACAAACTTTTTCTGTAAGGAAAGCGTTAAATTTTGTAGGAAATAGAAACGTAGAAAGTCAAAAGACTGGAAGGTGGAATAAAAAGTACAGCAAATTAAGATAGATTTCTTGGAAAATGTGGGCTCGAATTTTTTTAGCCTAATTCCTTAGGTTACTGTAGTTGTCATTAAAGAACTTAAATGTTAAGTGTGGAGCCTATAACTTGTGAAAATTAGAAACGTAATAAATAAACTGGTCAACTTACCTTCTTTAGGGAAAGATTGAGTTCAATTATGGTTTTGTTTTCTTGTTCTTTTGTTTGTTTGCTGCGAGTCGGGCTTTGTGATTCCCTAAGCTTATTGTTTAAGTTTGACCAAAAAGTGACGACATTAAAAAATGGGACAATTTTCCTCTAAGTATCGAGAAAAATTTGTGATTACACTGGTTTTCCTTCACGCCCTGTGATTGGTCTGGAAAACTCGCGCCACCTTTCCGAAAGATCAGGTGGGGGAAGAGGGCGGAAGGGTTGGCTCTTTCTAATTTGATATCTCATTGACCCATCCTTAGTCTCCCTGCGCCTTTCATCTTTGTCGGAGATGATTGCAAGACAACGATCCCTGTTGTCTAACAACATGCTTGTTAGGCAACAGGGATTACTAAAAGTGTGGCGAGGATTTACCCTTTTCCTAAATTCTTGAATTAGGGACATGCATCGAAATGCTCCTAAATCGGAACGTTATTAAATCAAACAACAATTTTATGCAGGAAACTCATTTTAGAGCCAAACGCTTAATGTTCCATGGAATGTATGTGCACTTGATCCATGCAGTATGTACTCCTCTTGTTCCACATAATCTTAAAATTTACTCTCCATTGATGGCGAGTTCCCCGCAGCTCAGTAGATAGAGCATTATACCGCGAAAGCGGTCCCAGTCGGGATGGAGATCCTGTTCCAGGGAACTTGCCATTTTATGTCTAATATCTTTTTTTTTAATTTTTCTTCTTGGAAGGTTTTTTCTTTTTCGAGTGTGTGAAAATCAAAAATAACATGAAGAGTCCTTGTATACCCGTCATTTTACTTCATTACATCAACGAAGGTTTTCTTCCACTTAATGACAAGTTTACCCTTTTCCTACACTCTTGAATCAGGGACATCCATCGAAATGCTCCTAAATCGGGACGTTATTAAATCAATCAACATTTTTTTTTGCAGGAAACTCATTTTAGAGTCCAACCACTCAGCGTTCCACGGAATGTTTGTACGCTTGATTTATGCAGTATGTACTCCTCTTGTCCCATATAGTCTTAAAATTTACTCTCCATTTATGGCAAGTTCCCCGCAGCTCAGTGGGTAG